AGGGACACAAGTGCGGTATCATTCGGGACGATTCGGGACAGTGCCCGGTCCAATACTGAGAGAATATTGGACCGGCAATAGAGCATTTTGATTGGTTGATTTTAGTTATTGGCCCTCTGACTGCCCGAGTCGTCTAATAAATTGCAATAATCTTAACCACCTTCAAACTCTACTTCGAGGACGCTCTCCATTTAAGTTGTCAAAACATGAGTCACGGCCACAAATAATAACCCTGTGTAGACGTTCCTCACCTACATATCAATTTATCTACTTTATGACTATAAGTTACTTGTTGGCTCAAACCATTTGCCTAGTTTAATCAATATTCCTAGTTAAGCAAAAACATATTCTAGTGGAAATGGTTTCACAATACCGGTAATTTGATTTTGTTTTTCTCTTTGTGCCAGATATCTTACCATTATCCTCTAACAAAAAGAAAAACACAAATCAAACTATACTAAGTGGCTGAAGTCTTAGCATGTTATACTACCTTTTTGTTCCAAACTCTCGTTTATCACCCTATCTCAATGTTGCCTGGTTTTAACAAAATGGTCACTCATTTCTACCAACAGTGATTGGGGGAAAGAGTGGACTTTCCAGTCACTTATTAGAGATAAATTGCAAGACTTCTGTTCATTATGTTGAGTGAATGGTTGTAGACCACCTACTATGGAGAAGAGAACTTTTTCCACCAATTGTCACTCAAATCCATTTTCACCTAAAATAATTTTGAACTATAACACATATTGCCCCATAATTCCATATTTAAACTCACCTCTTGTGGGAATCTGTTTCCTGGGAGATTTTTTATTGCTGGTGACTTTTTCATTAGGACTTTTCTTTGCTATTACATTATTCAGAGTTTCTGTCTTAACAACAGGGGAAGAGAAGCCATGATTCAGACAAGGAACAGTCAAAGGCATTTCTTCTATCTTCACCGTGACATCCATTAGTTCGACCTTCTGGTTTGTGATGACAGAGTCGTGAGGTTTTCCTTTTCTTGATCCTGTCTGTAATATTGTCTCAACCATTGCGCTTGACGTTGTCACCAACTCAGGAGAGGAAGGGGTCGGAACAGGAATAACTTTCTGATGATGTAGCTCTGTATGAATGGGTAGGTAAATAATAGTAATTTTATCATGAGAGGTCTTAATTCCTTATTTTTGAGGCCACCGTGATTATAAAGTTGTTACTGGAATTGGTTGACGACAGTGTAAAAGGACAATTCATTTCAAGGGTGAAAAATACTATAATCTACCAGTTGCCAAGATGCCAACACCCTTGTTTGAAAATCCAAGACCAGACAATTTAAGACTTCTGTCACTCACAATTATATTTCCAACCTACAGTAGCTACCTTCTGACTGCGATCTTTGGAACATAGGAAGAAAATAAACAAAATGCAGAAGTCTAGAAACCTCGCTGTCAAGGGACTGATTTTTTAAGGTACCATTTGCCACCCCTTGAAATAAAACTTGAGGTAAACATAGTTAGATTTGGGTTAACTTTGTGATGTCTCAAAAGACTGAATTAGATAACATATCCAGCTTTCCATCTTTACAAATAACTTGAATAAAAGACACAATATCCAGAAAAAATATTACATTAGAGAATCTGGTTCAGTTTCAAAGTGATTTGATGCAACTTGATATCTTGTGTACCCACTCCGAAAAACAGGATTGATTTGTTATGGTTGTTTGCAGAACTCCAACATGATAATGGAAGCTATTTTAAATTTCCAAATATTACTCAATGGTGCAATGTATAATTAAGAGAATCTATAAGTCAGGAGTTTTCATCTCATTAGAATAACAAAGGTCTCAGTATTTCTCCACATGTTTCAAATAGTATCTGTTGTGGTTTTGAAAGACCTAAAAGCTAGAAACATCCAACTAGTTTGAAATCACTTAAACCTGAAACCTTCATTAACCACAACATCTACAACTGATAAGGGATAGGATTTTCTCTTAAATCAAAATCATGCAGCAAAGAAAGAGAAGCAAACTTTCTTGATGATGAAAAAGTTTTAAAACCAGCTCTGTTTAGTCTTGTTCTTATACATAAAGCATGAGTTACAGCAACATGGAAAGAAATAATTGGATTAAGAAAAATTGATAGCTGTTTTGTAATTTAACAATTGAGGACTGATTCCTCAATAAATCCAGATGAAAAACCTCACGCAACCATCTTGCAACACATTCAAAATGTTTGCTTACCAATAACACAATAGAAAGTTTTTTGGAATATTTAGGAATCACAATACTATAATTTCAAATTTGAATACGAGTTGTGCTGCCCCTAGACTTTGGAATCTGCTTCCTACCACAATAAGATCTATTTCCAGTTTAGATCTTTTTAAAATTAGACTTAAAACTTTTTTATTTAATAGGGCGTTTAATTAGTTACTATAGTTGTTATAATTAAATTGCATTATTGATGAATTATTTATTTATTTATTTATTTATGGAAGTTAAGAATTGTAATTTTGAACTTCTATTTTATTTTTGATTTAATATTTATTGTAAGGCGCAGTTGAATATTTTTACAGAAACCGCGCAGTATAAATTTAAATTTAATAATAATAATAATAATAATAATAATATACAGCACTTTGGTTCCAAGAGTTATTACTTGGAAAAATTAAAACTATAAACTGGGCAAGGCAAGGATCATTATGCTCAATTAATTTATAACAATGTGAGAAAGATTGTAGAATCATAAACAATAAGGAAAGCTTTGTCTGCCAAGAGTATCATTATGGAAATTTTTTTTGCTAGACTCAACTTAAAAGCTGACAATGTCTTTCATTAAATGACATGCATGGTTATTTAGCAGACAGAATGGTATGGGAATTGGGTTTTAGCTATATGGTGAAACAATTCTACCACATTTAAGAAGGGGCAATGATAAGGATTAAGCTAAGAAATAGCAGAGGAAATTGGTGAAGTAGGCCACTTTCCATGTCTGAATAAGAAAAAAGTAGCTTAAATTGAGACCGAAAATTCTGCATTGTATGTGGAGGATTCCCTCAAAGTTCAAATGCCTTACGAAGACCCTGCAGTGACATCCCCCTCGAATATATTACAGGTCACACAGGATATGGCTAGGCAAATGAAAATATAATTAGCACAGCATAATATTTCAAAATTTAAGCTTATATTGATTCAATTTCAAAAACAACATCATACTCTATTATTGTAAATGAAGTGGATTAAAAGAACTATTTATAAACGGTCAAGTTTCAGTTTGAGGGAAAACTTTACCAGAATATAGAATCAAACTGGCGTTTATAATCGTTTACTCCTTGGAACTGTCGAGATGTTAAGACATTTCTCGAGCTTTTGTCATTTAAACTCGATAACAGTGTAATATTTTCATAAATGCACTAACCGCAATGCCGTAAAAATGCCGGTGCTTTCACAACTCTGCCACACTCTTTGCAAACGACGAGGACGATTTCCTCTTGCTCTGGGCAAATCCCGAAAAGGGTCATATCTATGATCAAAGCATAAAGCATATAAAAGTTAATCATGTTCCGCTTACATTATTAATAAACGCGTAAGCCACTCCAAAAAATTAAAGCACGTTTGATTTGGCGCTGTTTGTTTAGAGAAAACCCAAGTGTGCACTTCCTCCATTGTTGAAGCTTCAGTTGAACAGCTAACTCTATCTAAGACAGCGCTCTTTTAAAGGGTGCACACATGCAGTTAGCACGACATGTCTCATGCTAATTAAGCTTACTTTCAACCTGTGCGTAACAGTTCACTTGTAGTAATTTTTGCCCAGGGCGGAACAAACTATTTGGTATTTGGCGCAACAATATCTGATTTTTCTGAGTAAATATAGCCTTCAACAGTCACGCTACTTACCTTCTCGGTGCAATCGCGTGGCTTCTGGAGAACCTAAACCATTGTTTTCGTCCACTTCCATTGCTATCGTGGAAAAATAACATAGGGTAAATCCCCTGAAAAAAGTTTCCTTTGCGTTTATTGAGTCGAATAAGGACACAGATCGATGGCGTGATAGCTACACCTACCTTCTGGTTCGTCCAAAGGCGAATTTTCTTCGAAGGAACTCCATGAGCTCCCAGAAAGTAAAGAATGACAGTGAATTTTCGCCATTACAACCTCATTCCCGCTCCGATGTTGCTTTCTAGCAATTCCGTGACGTCACTGTCGGAATGAAACGTAAGGTCTCGGAGAATACCGACACTTTCCGACCTGAAAATGTCAAGTGCATAAAGATGTTATAAATCTCAAATTCGACCACTTTTCGACAAGTGACCTGAAAACTTGAGGCTTAATTTATCAGATTTTGCAATCCTTTCTCATATAATTAAAAAAATTTACAATCTACGTGAAAAATAATTCTCCAGTGCCGTGGATAGGCAAAAGAAAAGCACGAATTGTTCGAACTAGCGGCCATTTTTAACTTCCTCCAAGCCAGCTAGATAGAAGTTAGATAGTTATTATATTACCTTAAATACCTTGAAATAAATACTATCTTGTTCTTCCGATCAAACTCATTACACAAATTAGGCGTCACTGTAGTGCATCATGTAAATTTGTCTTGACAAATTGATTCCGCCATTTTGTCCAACCACGGTAGGGCGCTGTGAGCGTCTAAGATGTCAGCGGTACACCAATGGATCTTATGCTCAGCGAGGGAAAGTTTAAAAAATGGCGGACGAAGTAGTGTTGAGCTTCCACGACAGTCTTCTTAGAAAATCGGACCTTAGCTTGCTCGAGGAAGGTCGTTGGCTGAATGATAGACTGATAGGATTCGTATTTGAGTGAGTTTGAAGTTAGCTGTGGGTAATCAGATCACAGATGTACCATACATTTTCGTTTATGTACCGTCAACATGCAATCTGCAAGGTGCATTTTACCGAGAGAGAAGTTGTATTTTTCACTTTTAGCTAACTCCAGAAAAAATTTTTGATTGCAGCTACTTTACACATAACAAGTTCAAACAGATATCAGATATTGTGACCTTTATCAGTCCTGATGTCACGCAGTTCTTGAAGCTCGGTGAAGGTAAGAAATACCTCTCACTAATAATAATAGGTATTTCTTGAAATTTTCAACGCTTGTGAATAAATGAAAATCATATGTATGAACTGCGATTAAAGAAATTGGTGTGAGATCGATCTTCGCAGAAATGAACACTACCTAAGCAGTAGTGAAAACGAGGTCTGAAAAAAAATTCAGGCTTGTACGGGACTTTCAGGCCTTATTTTCCCTACTGCTTAGGTAGTGTTCATTCTTGCTAAGATCGATCTCACACTAATTTCCCACGAATTTCGTCCTCTCAATCCGTATAGCAAGCTACGTACCGAGTTTTTTTTTTTGGACTGGATTTTTATTTAGACATTATATTATATTATATTATATTTATCTGTTTACTTATTTATTATTTGGTGTATACTCCAGTTAATCTGAGTAATGTACGATACACAATGAATATACGAAATTCATATTATCTGAACTGCGGCTATTGTTGCAATATGCCATTGCATATTTAATTAGCCCATAATTTTTTAGATCATTTATTCCCAGTATGCACCATTCTATTGTTCACACTTAATTAGTTGTAGATTGCGCCAAAAAAATTAATTGTTATTCGTAGTGTGTGCGATTTGTATTTAAAAAAAAGCCATTAGGATGCGAAATAAACCTTACTCTCTAAAACAAAATGGTTGTGCGGTCATGATATATTTCTTCATGTAGGAGAATAAAAAAAAACCACATGAGGAAACAGCTATAGAAACGTGTTTGTGCACAATGCTCACAGTAAAGAGCACTATTTAAGTAATAGTGAAATTCAGACCTGAAAAAATTCAAACACAATGAACAGGCCTGAATTTTTTCAGGTCTGATTTTCATTATTGCTTAAATAGTGCTCTTTACTGTGAGGTTGTGCACAAGTACGTTTCTATAACTGCAGTTCAGATATATAAATTTCATATATTCGTTGTGTTTGATTTATCATCTTATGGATTTATGTCGGACTAATTTGATGACCTGCTCCCAGTTGGCTTGTTAGCTCAATTGGTAGAGCGCTGCACTAGTATCGCAGAGGTCAGTGGTTCGAATCCCGTACAGGCCTGAATTTTTTCAGGTCTGATTTTCACTATTGC